TGCAGCCTCAACCTACTGGGCTCAAACAATCCTCCTGCTTCAGCCTCCCAAGTAGCTGGGACCACAGACACATGCCACCATGCCCAGGAAAATTTTTAATTTTTTTTTTTTTGGTAGAGATGAGGTCTCCCTATGTTGCCTAGGCTGGTCTGGAACTCCTGGGCTCAGGAGACTCTCCTGCCTCAGCCCCCCAAAGTGCTGCAATTACAGGCATGAGCCACCACATGTGGCCAAATTCATTTTTTTGAGTTAACATTCTTCCATGACTGAAAAAGTTAGTGGATGTTGAAACAGCATTTATTTAGTACAGCAAATAACATCTATTTAGTACAGCATCTATTTAGTACAGCAACTCCTTCGCTTCAAGACCAGCCTGGGCAACATAAAGAGACCTCATCTCTATTAAAAAAAAAAATTAGCCAGGCATGGTGGCACATGCCTGTGGTCCCAGCTACTTTGGAGGCTGAAGTAGGAGGACTGCTTGAGCCCAAGAGGTTGAGGCCACAATGAACTAAGATGAGCAGGACAGTGACTGCAGGGATAATTGTTCCTGCATTCTAATATTAAACCTTTAAAACGTGACTTCTAGAATTTGTAATAATTAATACTGATGATTACTTTTTTGGGATGTTACTTCAGATTTATACTTACATCTCAGAAGTTAAATGGTGTGCCAGTGCGGCCTCAAACCCAGCCTATATTCAGCTCTGTGTTGCTGGGGCTGGGAGTCCGATATTACAATTTCCCAGACTCCTTCACCAGGTGGCTTCCTGCTAAGAGTTTGCTAATTGGAGACAATGATGGGAGTCTGGAAAGTGGGAGGTGAGGAGAGAAGGCATTCACTCTCTGCTTTGGATTCCATCTGTATCCTCCCTGCAGCTTAGGTAGTTATGGGTTCATTGCCAGTACTGCAATGTCCTTCAGAGGCACCAGCTCCAATCATAAGGTACCCCCCTCCCCAAGCACTAAACTGGCACATAGGTACTCAGTAAATTTCTAGTTGAATAAACAAATGAATACATATATATTCATATATATATATTCATCTGGGAAGGCAATATATATTTATTCAATATAAATGAATAAATCATGTCCCATGTACTGTATCAGTCATCATCTAGCTAGAAAACAAAAACCATACTAGGTATTTCAGTGGAGGGAATTTTACACAAGGAACCCCAAATTTATTTGGGAAACTGGATCCTCAGGTATGAGCCACTGCACCCAGCCTGTAATCCTTTCATAATACTGCTTTCTGTTTTCCCTCCACATACTGTCCCAAGCACTGATGAACTCTCACTGCACTGATGAACTCTACTGTAGATTAGTTTACATTTTCTAGAATGTTTAAGGAATGGAATTATACTGTCTGTACTCCTTTTTTATTCTCCTGCCACAGCCTCCTTAGTAGCTGGGCTTACAGGTCTGTGCCACCATGGCCAGCTAATTTTTGTATTATTAGTAGAGACGAGGTTTCATCATGTTGGCCAGGCTGATGTCAGACTCCTAACCTCAGGTGATCCGCCTGACTCGGCCTCCCAAAGTGCTGGAATTACAGACTTGAGCCACCATGCCTGGCAGGTTTGATTTTCTTTGTGTCTATGCTGCTTTGGAGTTCACTGAACTTCTTGTGGATTGATGTCTTTTAACAATTTTGGAAAAATTTCAGCTATTATCTTTTAAAAATATTTCTTCTTCCTCATTCACCTCTTTAAATTTTTTTTTTTTTTTGATAGAGACGGGTGGGGGTTGGTCATGGCGGCTCATTCCTATAATCCCAGCATTTTAGGAGGCTGAGGCAGGCCAAATTACTTGAGCCCAGGAGTTCACGACCGACATGTTGAGACCCCATCTCGAAAAGAAAAAAATAATAGAGAAGGGGAGTCTCATTATGATGTCCAAGCTGGTCTTGAACTCTTGGACTCATGTGATCCTCCTGCCTCAGTCTCCCAAAGTGCTGAGATTACATGTGTGAGCCATTGTGCCTGGTCTCCCATCTCTTCTTCTGGGATTTAATTATATACATGTTAGATCATTTGATATTGTCCCATAAGTCTCTCATGCTCTATTATGCTTCTTTTGCATTTTTTCTCTCTATGCTTTGGTTTGTATATTTTCTAATCTGTCTCTGAGTTCACTGATTCATTCTTCTACAATGCCCTGTCTTCTGCTGTTAAACCCATCCAATAGATTCCTTTTTTTAAAGAGGTGGGGTCTCGCTATGTTACTCAGGCTGGAGTGCACATGTGGCTATTCACAGCCATGATCACAGCATACTACAGACTTAAACTCCTGGGCATAAGTGATCCTTCTGCCTCAGCCTACCAAGTAGCTGGGACTACAGGGATGTGCCACCATGCCTGGCTTACCATCCAATACATTCTTAATTTTAGTATGTCTCAGTTTAGAAGGCCCAATTTATTCTTAGAGTTTCCATCATGCTCTTAGTATTTATGCCCTTATGTAGTCCTCTTTCACAGTGACTAGCATATGACTTGCCAGTGGGACTTCAGCAAATGTAATACAAACAGAAATTTGAGAAATGCCAGATGTTGAGGTTTATCCATATATGTCAGAAAACGTATTTAAGAGAACTCTAGAGATGAAAATAGGTGTTATTTTTTCCCTAAGGGAGAGCATATCTTTTCTTCTGTTAGGCAGTTAGGACTGTTGTTAATATACCTCTGCAAGGCCAGGAGTGGTGGCTCATTCCTGTATTCCTAGCACTTTGGGAGGCTCTTGGCCCCAGCTATCATGGAAGAAGCCAAGGTTAACTTCTTTGAGGTGGAGAGGCTATGTGAAGAGAGATGTAGTAACATGAATGACCTCTTGAGAATATCAGAAGAACCACTTAATCAATGCGCTGAATTGTGAAAAATGACGAATAGTTGTTATTTTAGTCTACTAAGTTCTGGAGTGGTTTTGTAATGCAGTAGGGGAAAATAATACACTATTTGTCTGTGTATTTAGATTCTTCATCCTTTCATTCATTTTATCAATATTTTCTTCTAATTTCTTTAACATATTTATAACAGTTATTTTAAGGTTGTCTGTTAATTCCAACAACTACTCCATCTGTATTAGTTCGTTCTCATACTGGTATTAAAAAAAAACCCTGAGACCAGGTAATTTATAAAGAAAAGAGGTTTAGGCCAGGCATGGTGGCTCACGCCTGTAATTCTAGCACTTTGGGAAGTCGAGGAGGGTGGATCACCTGAGGTAAGGAGTTCAAGACCAGTCTGGCCAACGTGATGAAACCGTGTCTATACTAAAAATATGAAAATTAGTCAGGTGTGGTGGTGCACGCCTGTAATCCCAGCTACATGGGAGGCTGAGGAAGGAGAATCGCTTGAACCCGGGAGGTGGAGATTGCAGTGAGCCGAGATCACTCCACTGTACTCCAGCCTGGGTAACAGGAGTGAGACTTCATCTCAAAAAAAAAAAAAAAAAAAAAAAAAAAAAAAAAAAAAAAGAAAAGAGGTTTAATTGACTCATGGCACAAGGAGCATGAAGGCTTCTGAGGAGGCCTCAGGAAACTTTTGAGCATGGCAGAAGGTGAAGGAGAAGCAAGCCTGTCTTACATGGTCAGAGCAGGGGGAAGTGAAGAGCGAGGTGGTGCCACATACTTTTAAATAACCAGATCTTGTGAGAACTCTATCACAAGAACAATACCAAAGGGATGGTGCTAAACCATTCATGAAGGATCCACCTCCATGATCCAATCACCTCTCACCAGGCCCCACCTTCAACACTGGGGATTACAATTCAACATGAAATTTGGGCGGGGACACAGATCCAAGCCGTATCACCATCTTTGGGTCTGCTTCTAATTGATTATTTTTATTCTTGATTATGGGCCATATTTTCCTGCTTCTGTGCATGTCTTATAATTTTAAAATTGTATATTTGTCAGAAATTGTATTCAAGAGAACTATAGAGACTAGAATAGGTGTTATTTTTTCCCTAAGGGAGAGCATGTCCTTTCTTCTGTTAGACAGTTAGGACTGTTGTTAATATATCTCTGCAAGGCCCCATGGGAATGGTGGCTCATTCCTGTATTCCTAGCACTTTGGGAGACTGAGGCGGGCCAGGAGTTCAAAACCAGGCTGGGTAAAAAAGCGAGACCTTATCTCTATAAAAAAAAATTAGAACAAAATACCTCTGCAAACCAAGACGACAAAGTATTCTTATTTCTTGTGGTGCAAGGTAGGTTGTGGGATTTCAAAGTAATGACTTATTAGATGATAATGAAGGTATAGAGAGTAATTATTACAGTTAATAATATAACCAAAGATAGTTTGTAAGGGGACAGTAGAATTACTGAGAACAAATTGCATGAATCTCTGAAAATGAGCATACTTATATTTTAAGCCTTCTACCTTAAAAAATTCTACACAAGAGCACATAAGCACATCTTTCGTTAGCTGCCAGAACAATTATGTCATTATATGTCATGGAGATTCCAGAAAATTCCACTATACACTTGTGAAAGAGAGAGCTTAAAAAAGTAAAAAATGTCGGGAGGCCGAGGTGGGCGGATCACAAGGTCAGGAGATCAGAAACATCCTGGCTAACACAATGAAACTCCGTCTCTACTAAAAATGCAAAAAAAAAAAAAACCCAAAAAAAACTAGCCGGGCGTGGTGGCGGGCGCCTGTAGTCCCAGCTACTCGGGGGGCTGAGGCAGGAGAATGGCGTGAACCCGGGAGGCGGAGCTTGCAGTGAGCCGAAATCACGCCACTGCACTCCAGCCTGGGCGAGACTTTGAGATGGAGCGAGACTCCATCTCAAAAAAAAAAAAAAAAAAAAAAAAGTAAAAAATGTCTTATTTATTGTGAAAACAGTTTTGACATTCCAAACCACCCGAAAGGCACTCCTGAGAGCTGTTGGGCTTCACTAACAGGCAAACGCAGGGATCAGCCAGAGGTGTTTATTGATAGAGTGTGGGAATCCACTGGGTAACTTCATCTGCATTTTCACGGCTTCAGGCTTCAAGGCACTTAAAATGGCCACCACTTTTCTTTTGGCTGGTACTTGGGCTTCACGCAGCACATTTTATTATTTAGGCAGTAAACATAGACTCTTTCCTTCTTGGAGCATCTGTGACGGCATTTGCCATAAAGATTCCAGCATCTTTGGGTGCCACCTGACACAAAGCAGAAAAAAGAAGGGAGACAGTGTCAGTCCTAAGAAGTAGGCTCTGGGTTTGAAAGGTCTGTAAATGGATGGAAGCAGATGTGATAGAAGGTCCCTTGTTTCCCTTGCTTTTGACCCTTTTCACCTATCACTGTTTTTCTTTTACTCTCTTTTTTTGCTCCCCACCTTTGACTGACAGAGTGACCTTGGTGTACATCAGCTGAATAAAGCCTTTATGTGAGTGGTGTTTTTTTTGTTGTTGTTTGTTTGTTTTTTGTTTTTTTTGACGAGTCTTGCTCTGTCACCCAGGCTGGAGTACAGTGGAATGATTTTGGCTCATTGCAACCTCCTCGTCCCAGGTTCAAGAAACTCTCCCACCTCGGTTTCCCTGAGAAGCTAGGACCACAGACATGTGCCACCATGCTTGGCTCACCCTCTAGTCTTTAAGTACCTTTCTGTGCATGTGCAAGAGGAAACTACCAAAGGCCTGGGGGAAAAATAGCAAACAACAAAAAGAAGTAAGCAAAACAATTCCCAATGATTGCACAGGTCTGGGAATAGCTTGTGCTTCCACCTGCCTGAGTGGAAAGACCCTGTAAAATTTGCAGCATTTGGTACTCGGAAGGCTATTGCCTTAGTAGAGGGGGCTAAATTAACCCTAGACTAAAGAATACCCTGTATCTATCCTAACGAAGCTTAAAAGTCAGTCTCGAAAATATTCATCTGATTCCCAGTAACTTAACTGCATGCCAGAAAAATATCTAACACTCTTTAAAGGAGTATAACAAAATACAGAAACCGAAAGTGTAAAAATATTTTTCAGGCATACCAAAAAAAAAAAAAAAAAAAAAGCAAGAAAATATGAGCCATAATCAAGAAAAAACCAAATCAACACAGAAATGACAATGATGATGAAACTAGCAGACAAGGATGATAAAACAGCTATGATAAATATGCTCCAAGTAGTAAAAAAGGTAGAGGAAGCCATGAGCATGATGAGAAGAAATAAAGATGTAAAAAATGTTCATGGCTGGGCTCAGTGGATTAAGCCTGTAATCCCAGAACTTTGGGAGGCTGAGGCCGGTGAATCACCTGAGGTCAGGAGTTTGAGACCAGCCTGACCAACATGGAGAAACCCTGTCTCTACTAAAAATACAAAAAAATTAGCTGGGCGTGGTGGCACATGCCTGTAATCTCAGCTACTCAGGAGGCTGAGGCAGGAGAATAGCTTGAACTCGGGAGGCAGAGGTTGCAGTGAGCCGAGATCGTGCCATTGCACTTCAGCCTGGGCAACAAGAGTGAAACTCTGTCTCAACAAACAAACAAACAAAAAACATGTATATGTATATATTCACAAGGAATACTTGAGATGAAACATTAAATATTAAATGAAAAACATACTTAGTAAGATTAATAGCAGGTTAGACTGAAGAAGAAAAGATAAACGAACTTGAAGACATAGCAGCAACAGAAATCATCCAAAATGAAACACGGAGAGAAAAAAGATGGGGGGGATAAAAGAGCAGAGTGTCAGTGACCCATGGGACAATAACAAGTAGTGTAACATGCATATAATTGGGATACCAAAAGGAGAGGAGAGGGGAGAGGCATAAAAAGTATTTGAAGAAATAATGGCTGAAAAATTTCAAGTTTGATGAAAACTCTAAGCCCATTAGAACCATAACCCTCGGTGAACTACGAGCTGAATAAAACCAAAAGAGAAGCATGCAAATAATCAAATTGCAAAATCATATGAAAGAAAGAAATCTTAAGCCAGAAGAAAAGACACATTTTGTACACAGGAGAAAATATAAAAATGCTAGAAGAGGCTGGGTGTGGTGGCTCACACTTGAAATCCTGGCACTTTGGGAGGCTGAGGTGGGAGGATCGCTTGAGCCCAAGAGTTTGAGACCAGCCTAGGTGAGACCCTGTCTCTCCAAAAAAATAGAAAAATTAGCCAGGTGTGTTGGTGTGCACCTGTAGTCCAGGCTACTAGGGAGGCTGAGGTGGGAGGATCGCTTGAGCCCAAGAGTTTGAGACCACCTAGGTGAGACCCTGTCTCTCCAAAAAAATAGAAAAATTAGCCAGGTGTGTTGGTGTGCACCTGTAGTCCAGGCTACTAGGGAGGCTGAGGTGGGAGGATCACTTGAGCCTGGGAGGTCGAGGCTGAAGTGAGCTGTGGTCACGCCATTGCACTCTAGCCTAGGTGACACAGTGACACCGTCTCAAGAAAAAAAACAACAACCCAGAAGAATTATTGTCAGAAACTGCACACTAGAAGATGGTAGAGAGAGATCTTTAAAGTAATAAAAGGAAAAAGCCCAGAATTCTTTACAGAGTAAAAATATTCTAAAAGTGGAGAAATAAAGACTTTTTCAGGTATTTGAAAATGGAGAAAATTGATCACTGAAAGCTCTCCTCTTTCCTGCTTCTCTTGTTCACCCCTCCCACTCCTCCTCACAAACCTCTGGATACAGATGCCAATTTGCAGAAAATGCAGAGGTCAGAGGAACACGTTGAATTTTACCTTGAGTATGCAATCAGCAAAATTTATATTGTGGAAAGTTATAGATCAAATGACTTATGTATGTTTCCACTGATAACTTGTAAAGATAAGAAAGGGAAGAATATGGAACCAGTAAATTAAAAAATTCAAGGAATCTAAAGAGATATCAAATTTTAACAGTATAAATAGGGTGTCTAGGGATGCACCCCTAGCAATGAGACTGTAAAGGAATGCAGAGAACTGATTGCTATAAAAGTCAGGAGAGTGCTTAATTTGGAGGATGAAGACAATTGTGATGGATGCAATAGGTGGAGACATTTTTGGGCTGACTGTCAATACTCTGTTCATTGACCTGCATGGTGGTTACAAGGATGTGCACTTATAACCTCCATTAAGCTGCACACTTGTATTATGTGGTGTGCAGTACCTGTGATTCTGTGTTTTAGTTTACAAAAAGATAAGGAAAAAGCGACCATTTAACAACAAAATCTCAATTTTTAATTTAAGAGTGTCAAGAGGAACTATTGGTGAGTGAGGGGAATGACATTCATACACTTTTTTTAGCATCTGTGGAGGCTACTGAGCAATAACTTACACATTTTAAAGCTATACACAGTCTTTACCTAGCAATTCCTTTCCAGATATCTACACCAGGGAAATACTCACATGTATAGACTGAAAGGCCTATACATTGGAGATAAAACTATACATGAGTGAGACACCTACCCTCAGAGAACTTCCAGTCAAATCAGGGGAGAAAGAGCCATTAAAAAATAGATACCCAGATATTTGATTAACTAGAATCTGGTGAAAATTATAAAGAAAGAACTCAGGGTGCTGTGAGGATGTATAATGGAAGGGCAGGTGTGCCACCTAAATCTCATCTCTGCTGGGTTTCTGGCCTTTACATATGTCTCCTGAATTCCCACAATTAACCTAATGGTGAGTATGACAATATTTTGAAAATATTAAAGTGATGCATATTTCAATCCCCTTTAATCATAAGATCCATTGATTGTCATAAAGCAGAATTGGGCAGAGTTTCTGGGTTTTGGGGGAATGGTGAACAACAGAACAACAAACTCATTGCTCAGCTTACATGAGATAAGGGTTGTGCATAGAAAGACAATTTTAAGGACCAACATTTATCAAGGAAGTTCAGGGATTTCCAAATTTCAAAGAGCTCCTTTATACATTATTAGGTGAACCTGGCGGGTTCAGGCAATACCACTTCACCATAAGCTATAGGAGGCTAAAGCTGAGGGTCAGGCTAAAGTAGCTCCCATTTAACCTCTGTCACCACTACCATACCCAACGGGAAGTAGAGGGGAAATACTCTACCCATAATTTCCAGGGAAGCTGGAAGTTTAAATCCAGCTCCTGCAGCAGCAGCACTGGGCCTGAGAGCCCTGCTAGAACCCATGCCTCATTCTGCCAGCCGGATGGTGGATGCACCAACAAGCTAGGGACAAAGCCCTTTCATGTGTCTCCCGCTAGCCATCTACTGGTTGACCTGAACACTCAGGAAGTAGAGATAATTAATGTGAGAAAGGTAGGGGCAAGAGAGTCTCTTGCTATGAATGCCCAGATTGGTTGGAAAAAATTGCCAATGCAGAGGACACTTATTCTTTGCCTCTTAGAGCATATCTCAGGGAAACTGGTAGCTCTTTAGAGAAATTCTTGTCTTTAGCATGGATACAGCACCGCATGGTGCTACTTGAAGGGGGACTAGAAATGGCTGAGGGAAGTGACTGAACATCGCTCTCAGCTCTCTGTTGAATAAAATAGACCCAGAAGGTCCCCAAGTTTCCTTATCTCTGGTTGAGATAGGAAAACCAGTAAGGGACCTGCCAAGAGTACACCCCTAGTGCAGAAGGCAGTAAGGGAGGGTGTGAACAGCCTTAACTTGAGGACCAGATGGAAGATCTGGCTGAGATGAAGGGTCGAGTCAGTGGGGTCCCCAAAAGGGCTAAGAGATTTCACCAGTCATGAAATCCAGTAGTAAGTGCTAGCGGGACACTCACTGACCACATCCAATGAGGGACGTGATCCCAGAAGTCAGTAAGGGTCCAGCACAGGACCCGACACCACCTCCTTATGTTCCTGTCCCAGGGCCCTTGCATTTGCTGTTTTCCCCAACTTGAATTTCCTTCCCTACATATCCACATGGCTCACCCCAGCTGTTCCCTCAGCTCACAGTAAGACATTCCATGAGCATCCTCTTAAAAATGGCAATGACCGGGCATGGTGGCTCAAGCCTATAATCCCAGCACTTTGGGAGGCTGAGGCAAGCAGATTGCGTGAGGTCAGGGGTTTAAGACCAGCCTGGGCAACATGGCCAAACCCTATCTCTACTAAAAATACAAAAATTTGCTAGGCATGGTTGCATGCGCCTGTAATCCCAGTTACTCAGGAGGCTGAGACATGAAAATTGCTGGAATCCAGGAGGTGAAGGTTGCAGTGAGCTAAGATCATGCCACTATACTCCAGCCTGGGTGACACAGCGAGACTCTGTCTCTAAAAAAACAAAACAAAACAAAACAAAACAAAACGCAAATCACCTTCCCCTTCCCCTGGTGTTCACTATTTCCTTTCCTGCCTATTCTGCTCACTGTACTCATCATCTGACATACCATATGTTTCATTTATTTTTCAAATTCTTTGGTTCCTCTAGTAGAAGGTAAGCTCCAAGAGGACAGAGATTTTGCTTATCTTGTTTTGTTTTATTCACTGCTCTACCTCTAGCACCCATCACAGTGCTTGGAACAAGAAATCCATTCAACTATATTTACTGAATGAAGCAATTAATTATTTGATGACATATCAAGTTAGTTTTCCCTATAACCAGATACTATCCCAGGAAAGAGAAGGGGTGATGGAAGAAAGATACATGCTGAAAGACTCAACACTTATTCAAAAGAGATTGAATTAGCTTAGAAATCATTTTAAAGCAGAAAAGATAAATATTGAACCGCTGAGTTCAGGCCCAGCCCTTAGGTGCCTTGTCACCCTGGGTTGTAAGTGCTATTTAACTGTCTCCCCTAGTTTGCTCCCCTGGTGCCATGTCATTTATCTCTGTAGTCCTGCTCCTCCCACCACAAACACCCACAGTCAGGATGGAAGTTCCTGGGAAAGTTTGGTGAGTTATGGAAAATAAAGAAGATATATTTCTTTTGCAGACTAAAATTTCAGTGTGTTCAGTGTTGTTCCCTCAACCTGACATTATTACACACTTGATGTTATTGCAGTTTGAGAACTGAGGAAATTGATACTCTGAGCAGCTGAGCTTCTTGTTGGGGGTCACAGAGTCAGAAAATGATGGGGCAGGTTTTAACCCGGGGTCTGGGCTTGCCTCTCTACTCCAGGTGAGTGGTGTTTTAGGGCCTCAGGAAGACACAAGGACTGAGGTCAGCTTGTTTAGGAAAGTCACATGTTTCTGACTCTAGAAAGGTTAGCCGACAGCCTCAGGGTGGGTGGAAACTTCTGCCAGATGAGCAGGAAGGGGTAGGTGGCTCATGCTGGAATTGGTGGGTGGTAGGTCTGACCAGGGTCCTTCTCTGTTTAAACCTTCCCATGGGTCCCTCACCTGGCATTCGAGGCCCACCGAGACCTGGAGCTTGAATGCTTCCTCAGCTTTACCCCCGCCTCTCTCCTAACCCACCCCTCCATGTTATGTAGGTCCCTGAAGCTCCCATGCTCTCTCCCGCATCCAGACCTTTGCGTAGGCTGACCTCTCTGCCTGGGACCCCCTTCTGCTTTCTCCTCTTCTTCCTTTTCTATTTTTGACTCACTTTTTAGGACTCAGGATATCCCTCCAGGAGGACTCTCCTTTCCCTCAGCCTGGGCTGGACCATGTGTGCCCAGCCCCCTGGTTTCCCACTGTCACAGCCATGTCACCCTGGGTTGTAAATGCTATTTAACTATCTCCCCCAGTTAGCTCCCCTGGCGCCATGTCATTTTTCTCCATGGTCCTAGCTTCCAGTGCAGTCTGGCACAGAGACAGCTACAGTATAAATGAGTTTTCTCTGCCATTAAGGTGGCTGTGATCTTCACAAAGCTTCATTCATTCTGGGCAATATTTTGCAAAAGGGTCAGACCTGCCTCTCCTCTTTCCTGCTTCTCTTGCTCACCCCTCCCACTCCTCCTCACACACTAGGCCACCCCCACATGCTCCCTGGAGCTGGGCAGGAAGAGGAGGGATGGAGCGGCTGAGAGAGCAGTTCTGGATGTCGTAGTTGGCATCTATCAGCTGGCACCTGCTGCTGGTGAGGCGCCTCCTGCCTCCTATACGTGGTGCCAGATGGCAAGCTGCAGCCCATCCTTCTAACCCTTGGGATTCCCTGACCAGGCCTTAGTCTGCAAGCCCTGCCCCTTCCTTGAGGAGGTCCAGGTTACCTGGAGTCAGCTGGGATAAGAGCAGCAGCACAGTCAAAGTCAGCAAAAGGAGCTTCATGGCTAAGGCAGCCCAAAGTGAAGCTGCAAGTCCGATGCCACGGCTGAGCTAATGGGAGAGGGGGAGTGCCTGGCCTGTGGCTCACGCTCCCTCAGCTGCCCACGGGTACAGCCCTCACACTCTGACTGGACACACCTCCCCTTGTCATTTAGGTCAGCAGGGAGAGATCAGCCAACAAGGTCCAGGGCCCAAGACTTTAATACCTCCCATCCTTCCAGCCAGCTCCAAACTGCCTGAACCCAGTGACCAGCAGGAGGCGCCACAAACACCAGCTCCAGAAGGTCCGGGAAGAGGGAGATGAAGTTCCCAGCACCAGCCTGTCTGTCACAGCCCCCTGCTGGGTTCTAACATGCGGTGGACCTGCCCTAGGGCCATCCTTCCCCTTCCTCAGAGATCTAAGAACCAACCTCTCAGAATCCCTCTTCTGAACTCGGGTTTTGAAAACTCATTCTTGGTGGGGCACGGTGGCTCATGCCTGTAATCCCAGCAGTTTGGGAGGCCAAGGTGGGCGGATCACTTGAGGTCAGGAGTTCGAGACCAGCCTGGCCAACATGGTGAAACCCCGTCTCTACTAAAAATACAAAAATTAGCCAGGCATGGTGGTGCACGCCTAATCCCAGCTACTCGGGAGGCTGACAAAGGAGAATCGCTTGAACCTGGGGAGGCTGCAGTGAGCCGAGATCACTCCACTGCACTCCAGACTGGGCGACAGAGTGAGACTTCTCTTCTCATTGTATTTTGATTTTTTTAAAAATTATAGCAACTTAACCCATGCTCTACTTGGTTTTTATAATATTAAGTGATGCAACTAGTAGAAAAGAAAGCTAAATTGGGGAATCTTTAGTGGAGTCCCCTCTGTGTAAATCTTTGACTTCAAAGGGCTATGACATCAGTGTGAAGGTGAATTAGAAATAAGGATACATGCCCCACTGAGAGAATCATAGAGAAAATGGCCTATCTTGAGTCTCAACACTGAATGGAGATGGGGAAAGTACTTGTAAATATAATTAAACCCTCACATGGGCTTGCGGACAAAATTCACACTACCAAGATGATGCCCAAACCTTTTTTTTTTGAGACGGAGTGTCGCTCTGTCGCCCAGTCTGGAGTGCAGTGGTGCCATCTCGGCTCACTGAAACCTCTGCCTCCTGGGTTCAAGCGATTCTGCTGCCTCAGCCTTCTGAGTAGCTGTGATCATAGGCATGCGCCACCATGCCTGGCTAATTTGTGTATTTTTTTTGTAGAGACGGGGTTTTGCCATGTTGGCCAGGCTGGTGTTGAACTTCTGACCTCAGGTGATCTGCCTGCTTTGGCCTCCCAAAGTGCTAGGATTATAGGTGTGAGTCACCGCACCTGCCCTTTTATTTATTTATTTATTTTTGAATGCTGTTACTATTTATTGACATCAAAACAAAACAAGCTAAAACTAAAAGTTGCTATTTATTTATTTATTTATTTATTTTAGATGGAGTTTTGCTCTTGTTGCCCAGGCTGGAGGGCAATGGCACCATCTCGGCTCACCACAACCTCTGCCTCCCAGGTTCAAGTGATTCTCCTGCCTCAGCCTCCTGAGTAGCTAGGATTACAGGCATGTGCCACCATACCCAGCTAATTTTAATTTTACCCAGCTACTAAAAATAGAGACAGGTTTTCTTCGTATTGGTCAGGCTGGTCTCGAACTCCGACTTCAGGTGATCCTCCCACCTAGGCCTCACAAAGTGCTGGGATTACAGGCGTGAGCCACCGTGCCCAGCCCTAAAAGTTGCTATTTAACAGGAACAGACATTGGTGCACTTTCCTTCCTGGAGAAGAGATGCACTCAGATCATGAGATCTAAGATCAAACATGCGCTGGATTGTCAAGAGTCAAACAAGGCCTACATTTTACCTCTTAATAGAAAAAATGCTGACAAGGCCTGCATTTTACCTCTTAATAGAAAAAATGCTGAAGACAAAATGAGATGGTTAAAATATTCTTTATGCTAAGCTCATGTAAGCAAACACAAAACTAGAACTAATCTTAAAACTTTAGGACACTGGATACAGAAGTAACATGACTATTTAAATTTTTGCATCAATGAAAGTTTGTTCTACCCTTCACTGTACTTGTACTAAAAGGACATGCTTGTTGCTTCTACACTACATAAAGTCAACAGTTATCATCAACAATGCAATAGAACTAGATCAGAATAAGACTTCAAAACGACTCTGTTCCACCCAAATTAAGAAAATTCAATTCAGGATGATCAACGGCTTTTGATTTTAGAACCAGCTCTTATTTTCCTCTCATGTGATACGTAACGGAGTCCTCACTTGACATTTTCCTCTGCGAATTGCAGTGCATGTCCTCGCCATCACCTTTTTCTGACACTTTAAAGTTAATTTGTAGAAACTGCAAAAACAATGAAATTATACTTTCAATTCTGAACCTCCAATCAGGTTCCTGCTTTGATATAAAAGTTACTCCTCTGCAGTGTACCCCACCAGTACAGCGATCCCCTTTCTCTCTATTCCTTTGCCCTGAAGGAACTTCCCGATTGCTTAACATGCGCTCTTTGGCTGCCTAGACAGTCAGGACACCTAAGGCCATCTGGACTTATCACTCCTCTCCTCCTTCTTTTCTATGGCTAATATCACCTTCCTGCTTTTTTTCTATTGCTGAATTTCCAGACTCGGTGCTGTCATCAGGGCAGAGAGTTGATTTCAGCTTCAAGCTCCTGGTTGGTAAAGCTACATCGCTGGATCCTTGTTTCTTATGCAATCTCTCTTGACCACTTCTTTCTTTTCAGTTTTTTTCTGAACTGCCTATTGATTCTGCACTTTCAGCCTTCTTTCCTTTATCCCGAAGTACTTCTTTCTCTTTTTTCATTTCTTCTTTTCTCTTAAAAGTCTTCTCTTTCTCATAGCGCTCCTTCTGCCTACGGCACTCTTCCTCTTACCGCTTCAGCCTCTCTCTCTCAAAGTATGCGCCCTGATCTCATTCATAATCCCGTCCCCCCTCCCTGTAGTCTCTGCTGCTCTCATCTTCAGGTCTCTTTGGCTTTTCTTATCTATCTATTTATTTATTTATTTGTGACAGAGTCTTGCTCTGTGGTGCAGTGGTGCAATCTCGGCTCACTCTGCAACCTCTGCCTCCTGGGTTCAAGTAATTTTCTTGCCTCAGCCTCCCAAGTAGCTGGGATTACAGGTGCCCGCCACCATGCCTGGCTAATTTTTGTATTTTTAGTAGAGACAGGGTTTTACCATGTTGGCCAGGCTGGTCTCGAACTTCTGACCTTAAGTGATCCGCCCACACTGGCCTCCCAAAGTTCTGGGATTACAGGCAGGAGCCACCTCGCCCAGCCCTGGCATTTCATCTTTAAATTCGCTATCAGAACGCTTGGGCAATGTACAACTTTGTCCTCTGGTTCTTTCATCATTCAGATTCTCTTTGTCCAGTTTCTTGGCTTTGTCTCTTTTGTCCAATTCTTTTCCACCTCCTTTTTCTGGCTTCTTGAGTAGCTTAATCTTTGGTTCATCTTTTAACTTGTCCCTTTCTTAAATTCTGTCTATCTTCTTTAGCTTTTCTATATCTTTTCTTTTTCAGTTCTCTTCTTTCCATTTCCTCCTCTCTTCTCGTTGTCTTTTTCTTTCTATTTCTTGCCTTCTTCTTTTCTCTTTTCTTCTCTCATTCTCTGCTTGTTTTTCAGGAAGCTCAGAAGTGGGGTTGTCTTTTTAGCTATTAATTCTCTATGTTTTGCTTCTATTTCCTCTAGCAGTGTCTCTGGAGTAGATGTTATTTTCTCATTATCTGCGGCACAACTTTCAAAAACTTTCTATATTCTGGATCATCATCAATAGTCCCATCTTTGGTATCTCTTTTCTTAGTCTTCTTTTTTGTAGGTTTTTGAAAAGGTGCAAATTCTACAATAGCAGGATATTCCTGATCTTTATTGTCAAGGAATACATAACCATCAAAGCAATCCCTGAAAAAAATAATGTCCTCTTGGTTTTTAAAGTTGATGTATGCTCTGGCATAGGATATGAGCTAGTATCATTTGAAAAAAACTCAAAATAATCATGCTCAGGCACAGGTTGAAGATGTTCCAGTATTGGGGGAAATTCGACCCCTGATATTTCACATGGGTTCTTTTCTATTTTCGCAAGTGTTGGCTGGTATGAGAAGAGTACAAAAGAGAGAAATTTTAAAGCTGGGTGTCCGAGGGAGACATCACATGTTGGCAGGTTCCGTGATGCCCCCTGAGCTGTAAAACCAGCAAGTTTTTATTAGCAATTTTCAAAAGGGAGGGAGTGTACGAATAGGGTGTGGGTCACAGAGATCACATGCTTCAAGGGCAGCAAAAGATCACAAGGCAGGAGGTCATGGTGAGATCACAAGGTCAGGGCGAAACTAGAATCACTAATGAACTTCCATGTCCAGCTGTGCACACATTGTCATTGATAAACAAGGTTCAAGAGCAGAGAACCAGTCTGACTGGAATTTGCCAGGCTGGAATTTCCTAATCCTAGCAAGCCTGGGGTTGCTGCAGGAGACTAGGGCATGTTTCATCCCTATTTACATCTGCATAAGGCAGGCACCCCCAGAGCGGCCACTCAGAGGCCTCCTCTGGGAATGCATTCTTTTCCCAGGGCTGTTAATTATTAATATTCCTTACTGGGGAAAGAATTCAGGGATATTTATCTTACCCGTTTTTGTTAATAAGAGAAATATGGCTCTGTTCTGCCCGGCCCACAGGCAGTCACACTTTAAAGTTATCTCCCTTGTTCCCTGAAAATCGCTGTTATCCTGTTCTTAAGGTGCCCAGGTTTCATATTGTTCAAATACACATGCTCTACAAACAACTTGTGCAGTTAACACAATCATGACAGGGTCCTGAAGTGACCTTCATCCTCAGCTTATGAAGATGACGGGATTAAGAGATTAAAGACAGGCATAGGAAATCACAGGAGTATTGATTGGGGAATTGATAAATGTCCATGAAATCTTCACAATTTATGTTCAGAGATTGCAGT